TCTGACCCCAGTGTGCCTTAGACAGATGCAGGTGACAAGCATGCATGCTAAATTATACATACACTGTGCAACCTTATAAGAGGCTTCTCATATCTGTGCTAATTTTGGATTTTCAATCAAGACATTCACATTAAACAATTTAAACTATTGCTGGGCGATTTATAGAAGAAGCTATGTATATTAGCGAAGTTGAGAGGAATGAAAAATCCTTACACCATACCTGGACTTCTGGGGGACTAGTTCCTGGACATGAGAGTTTGTGTGTCTCAAATCATATATCATGATAGAGCCATTGACCAACCCAGCGTAGATGTAGTTTGTGTCATCAAGACACCAACAGCAGCTCCAGACAGGGCGGCCAGTGTTGTATGTCTGTACCACAGTATTTGTTGCCAAGCTGCAGAAGAAAAGCAAAGTGTAGGCCCTTTGCACAAGCATCTACCGATGATAAGACAACATAATTAAGGTAAGCGCTTTTGGAAGTCTTTAGACAGAAGCATCTCTCTTTAGACCGAATTCTGAATTAACTCCTTCTTTCCTCCAGATATGATCTGGCTAATCCAGACAGAAAAATCACTTTACAGTATCCAAGTGATTTATAATTCTTCCAAGCCAATGCTTCTTTTCCAGATTGATCTTTGGATACTGGGAAAGGAAATCTCAGAGCAGGGCCTCAGCTGCCTTATTGGCAAGAGAAAGCCAGGTTACTTTTCTGGAAACAATTAGGAGAAGTGACTCTAGTGTAATACTGTAATAGTCAGATATTCCTGAGATCAAAGGGCTCATCTCTTCAGATTACATCTCATTAATATTATACTTTTTTTTTGGGGGAGAAGTGTTATGCCTCAAAAGAGTCCAATTTAAGCAAGAGTGAGACAGCAAGTAGAGTAAAGACAGCTAAGAGCACATTTATAGCATTAACACTATAAACTAAATTTGTGAAAGGAAGGAGAGGGGAGAAGATAGAGGGATGCAACCCAGAATAGCAGCTTGAAGTTGTTATCAGCATCGGGCAGCATTGTCAACATAGGCTTAGCACACTGAGAAGAGCATGGCACAGAAGCCAGCATATATCAAAGGAACTCTGGAGATCCTTTACATGTGGTTTCTCTCTAGGGAGTGTGATTATGCTTGGGGCTCCAGAGAAGACAGAAATTGCTACCAGGAAGTATAGAGGGAACAAGCACAGAGACAAACCTCGCTGGGAAATGGAGTTTGGTATCAGGACAGTGACCTGCCCTTTTGTTTGTAAGATTGTTTTAAAGTTTGTAAGGTGAAGTTCTTCACAAGGAGGGAAAAAATCCCAAACAACAAAACCAAACCCAAAGTCATGGTGCTATTTTAAATACTCACAAGCCAGACCAGGACACTTAAGGACATCTTAGATAATTCCTTCTGGGCAGTGAGGCCCTGGCATAGGTTGCCCACAGAAGCTGTGGCTGCCCCATCCCCGGGCGCGTTCCAGGGCACGTTCGGCTTGGAGCAACCTGCTCTAGTGGAAGGTGTCCCTGCCCATGGCAGGGGGTTGGAACTGGGTGAGTTTTAAGGTCCTTTCCAACACAAACCAGTCTTTGGTTTTCTATGAAAGATAGCCAAAGGGGAACTTTTTTTCAGAGGGGGAAATATGAAAATACTGCTGAAGCAAGCACTTAACTAAAAGACATAGTAGGATCACGCACAAAAGCAAGAGGGTAACAAGCTCTGATGCAGCCCACCAGGCAGCAGGAGCCAGATAAGGGAGTCAAGTGCCTGAGCAGATACTTTGATGAGAAGCCACTCTCCAGATTAAACCATGAAAAGAATATCAACCTCACTGCGTTAGTAATCTGACATGCTGACTCTAGCATCAGACATTTTTTTTACTTTTAACTAGTCCAGTGAGCATTTCAGCATGGTAACAGGAAAGCAACATTCTTCACATTTTTGTTGCAGGATTAAGTTCTCTTCATTGCTTCACTTGTTTGAAAGAATTGGGATTAATCAGTCATACAACAGACATACATCCTGCCTACCCCTATACTAACTGACAGATGCGCGTAAGGATGTTACTATCACTCAGTAAGAATCAACTAGCCAACAAAGTTTAGAAGCAGCTAACACTTAAGATTGAACACCAGCAGAGCAGTAAGAAAACACTTACAGACTGTAAACTCTAAGAGGACTGGAGATACTTTCCTCTCAGCCTCTGCAAAATTACTGCTGCTTTAGGTCCCTGCTAGCTCTGGAGAACCTGTGTTCCTCTAGCACATGCAAAACAACACTATCAACACATTTCGTATCCCAGATGAATTCCATGCTTTGCAAGAAGCTTAAAATCAGAGAAGCCATCAGCAGTGCAAGGAAGAAAGTACCCAACCTAGACATCCCTTGTGCCTGTTATTTTTTATGCCATACAAGTTCCCATGCTTCACATTTCCCTGCAGTAACAGAAAACGAAGTGGACAGTAAATTTCACGTCTATACATTAGCTATGTTAGTTCTCAACACCACTTGGCCAATCCATGCTGAATTACTTCCCCCCCCTCCCCAAGTTCTCCATGGGAAAGTATCACAGATGGATAGCTCCACAACACCTCCACCTAAAAGTTCCAAAAGTGTGAACAAGTCTTTCCCGCTGTTAGTTCCTGCATGCAGAAAGAATACACAGACCTGATCGTGTATTAGCAGCATCTTTTGGAAAGAAGACTAGCAAGTGCTACAAGGCATTTCTAGCAAGACACAACAAAATCCAGTGAAGCCTCTTGCACGGAGCAGAATTCCACTGGGTCAGGTTGCTCTCTGCAGCAGGGCTCACCTGGTAAGCTTGAGAGCATTGTCCAGAGCAGCAGAGAGCAGCAAGCCATCTGCTCGACCACCAAAAGCCAGGCCCCGAATTTGTTTACTGTGGATGGGGATGTACTGACTGCTCCTCAGGTTGGCCACACTCAGCATCTTAACACCACAACCTGTCAGAGAAGAAGGGAAAGCAGGTTACTGCAAAAGTAGAACTAGCAATTCTGTGCCAGAACTATGATGTCTGTACCAAAGCCTGTGGCAGGATAAAACACATAAAAGGTACTTGTTCTGGACAAGAACTACCACAAATCTTTCTTTAGTTCAAGTGGCAGCAGGGCTAAATCCTTAAGGATCCCAGCCAGCCAGAAGATATTACATGTCAGTGTTACAATTCTTGTTCCAAAGGCCTGCTGCTCTTTAGCCAGTTTCTTAAAAAAGACATTATTGCCTAGATAAAAACATACAAAGTGGATTACATGTCTACTTAAGAGAACAAATACCACTGCAAAGAATGGCTACAGATGAACTTAACCTGTGTGCTACAAGAATCACCACAAAGCCTCCATTCAGAGATTCATTCCCTGGCTCCAAAAGCCAGAAAAACAAGGTCAGTTGACTGCAGAAGACAATTCTGGTATGCCTAGATAAGGCATTCCATCTCAAAGCCATTAACCCAATAAAGTAAGTCTCATCATTCAGAAAGCATTGAAGTACTTTACTAATAAATTTACTCAGACTCCTAATGCTGAAGTTACAAAAACAAGTTGGTGCTGGTCCAGGTGTCAAGTCTCTTGCCCCTGGCCATAACAGTAAGACAAAACCAACAAAACCAGGGCTGCCCACAACTTCTTTGCCTTCTATTTCCTCACTGGCAAACAGTGCTCCTACCATTTTTTGGATGGTGCTTTTTTTTTTTTTTTTTTTGCTTGTTTTTGTTCCTTTGAGTACTGACAAATCAGCTGCATTTGGATCAATCCACCTACAGTTTGGGGACCAATGTTCCTTGCTCAAGCACTGAAACCTCCACCACAGTCCCCTTGTTCTTTTAGAAAGCCAACCTTTGCAAGGAGTACCAAACACAGCTTTACTTTCTTGTGGATGTGGCACTCCAGCAGAAAAGCCGGAGACTCTCTGCTAGGATTTTGCCTTAGAAGCAACAGAGGAAACAAGCTACCTCGCTAAGCAAAAGCTGCCAGTGCAGGGGCCATATGAACTACTGGGAGTCTTGTTCCTCTTGTAAGGCCCCCCACTGCAGTCCTGCCTCCAGCTCTGGGGCAACAACACAAGAGGGACATGGAGCTCTTGGAGCAAGTCCAGAGGAGGCCACAGAGATGCTGCGAGGCCTGCAGCAGCTCTGCTTGGAGCCAGGCTGAGAGAGCTGGGCTGTTTCAGACTGGAGAAGAGAAGGCTCCTTAATGGGAGACCTTAGAGCAGCTTCCAGTACCTAAAGGGTCTACAGGAAACCTGGAGAGGGATTTTGGACAAGGGCCTGTAGGGACAGGACAAGGGGAAATGGCTTTAACTTGACAGAGGGGAGATTGAGATGAGATCTTAGGCAGAAGTTCTTCCCTGTGAGGGTGCTGAGACAGTGGCACAGGTTGCCCAGAGAAGCTGTGGCTGCCCCACCCCCGGCAGCGGTCAAGGCCAGGG